ACCACGTGGTTTTAGGTTTAGACTTTTTAGCTACAAAGCCTTTTATACTAGATATGAACACGATGACTTGGCGTCTCTCGCGTAGGCAGCCTAATGCACCGGCATTCTTGCGTCGCGAAACTCACTTGATGTCGGACGTCATTAGGTCACACGATTTTGATCCGTTAATTCCTGTGGGAGTTAAGCCGTCCCCGTCAATCCCTGCGTTGATGTTGACAGAGCGCATTGGCGTCGCTAAAGAAGCGAAATTCGTGCCTTATGTGTCGGCACATTTAATTTTGGCAAAAGCTGACCCAGAAATTTGTATCTTACACTTACAAAGGCTAAGCAGGAGTGGCCGCGCCCAGTCGCGTCGCCACCAGTGACAAAAGCGGCTGATGCCCCGGTGAAAACGGAAGTTAAAGAAACTACACCAGCCCAGGTAGCCCCGCTTAAAAAGGGATCCGATCAGCGTGATGAAGAGTTTGTGCGTAGTGCAGTACAGGAGATGATTCGCCAATATCTCCCGAGAGCAGCTTCCGTCGCGGATGAACCTGTTTGTCCTACAATTAAAAAAGAAATTAAGGCGGAGAAAAACCCAGAACCAAGTCAAGCTCGTGGGGGAGGCGGTGAAATAATTGTACATAATATGCAGTCAAGTTCGCGGGGGAGAGAACAGGCGTCTCCTCAGCAGCTAATCAAAAAGGAAAAAGTTTCGCAGCCGTCTCCGGCTAGCAGTTCGAGTACCTCGTCTTCGGCATCGGTCAGCCCTGTGCCTAATTCTGGCTCCAGTCAATTTCGTGGGGGTGACGATCCCTTGCAACTTCCAATTCAAATTTCGTCAGTGGACGCAGTACTGAAACAGCATCCTGCAGCAAAATATCTATACATGGGTGTTTTAGAGAAATCGGCGAAGGTGGTTGAATGCCTTAGCATGGACAATAAACTGCTAAATGTCATACCTGTTGAACGTGACCGTAGAGATGTTGATGAAGTCCACGACTATCCATCTTACATGGCACGCAATCCAGAGCTCAAGAAGTGGATGACGCCGATGGACAGGCCACAGGATAAGCAGCTCTTCCCTACAGAAAAAAGATTTCGTGACCCACAGTTTTGGCGTGAAACTCAGCAACAGTGCGTTGATAGCCGCATGTGGTATAAAATGTACAAAAAGCCGTCGCATGCTAATACGAATTTCACAAAGTATGAAATAAATCGGTTTGTAATCTGTGAGGGAATTTTGTGTAGGGTACCTGATCACTCTGGTACTTGCCCGCGGATATATGTACCGCATCAATGGCGACAAAAGTTGATAGCCTGCTTCCATGAAATTTTAATTCATAAGCAAGCGTACGGTCCCTATGAAAAATTATATCCGTATCTGGTTAAGCTTTTCTATTGGCCTGACTGCATTATCGAAATTGAGCGTTATGAAAAGGACTGCGATGTATGCAGAAATTCCGTTAATGATCGTCGACATTTCGAAACTTTGAAGCGCAATGAGCAATTACATGCACAGAAAGCTACGGGAAAGCGCAAGGTTACCTTTTCGGTAGAGAACCCGGCGCCAGCTGGTGAATTTGAGAATGGTAGCTTTATTCCCGCGGAAGGTATGAAGCCCATTAATATCGGTCCCTGCCCGGTCTCCTACGAAGACAAGCAGGCGGAGAAGCAAAGAGAAATAAACTCACAAATAATTAATAACTCACCGCAGCAGGAGTATTCGGAGTTTACATCAGAAGAGGCCAGAGTAGCATATGACTTGGCCAGGGAAATTAATATTAATGAACAGTGGGAAATCTGGAATGACATCCAAAAGCAAAAAGCATTGACTGAATCTGCAGCTGTTAATCCAGTGCAACCCACCGTAGGAAATTACGAGCCACCACTAGAAGGTTCGGGAAGGAATTCCCCTAGGCGTAAAAAGTCCAGCTACAGCCGCAGAATTCGGCGGGAATACGCAGAAAGAGAGGCGGCAAGCCAAATGTCGGCTGAGACAGTGGAGCCGGCACCGGTGTCGCAGTGTGTCATTCGAATAATTTTTGTCTTTATTTTGCTGTACGTTTTATTTTCCGATTTTACCCGCGCGCTGAGTCAATGACTGGTCGTTTTATGCCCTGTAGATCTCGTTGCAAAATCTTTACTGTACCTGGATAGATCTGATCTTCGATTACGTTGAATTAAAAGGATATAGCGCGAGGCGCTGATTGGTTGCTTCTCCTGCCAGTATGGAATCTGCCGCAGTTTAAAATTTCGTTCCAGCAGACAGGTATAAAATCACTTGCGCGTAGTGTGCAGAAATCGGCATTGTGGATTTTTCATTTCGGCCTTTTGGTACGCTGGATTTTCGCTGTGTGTAGACTGTGATTTTAACGCTTTTTCTCTTTACTTTTAGCGTTAAAAGGTCACTAGTTTTCATTAGTTGGGCATGCCGCCTATTGATCGTAACCGAGCTTTTGATAAGCTGGTTGACGCTATTTTTCATTCATCCTCCAACCAGCAGCAACAACAGTATAATGCCGGTTATAATTACCGAGGAAGGGGTGGAGCCCGTGGTGCTTACCGTGGCAACTTTCGTCCGTACGGCCGAGGAAATCATCGGAATTTTGGAGACAATAACTTGCGTCGTGGAAACGATCATTGGCGTCGTAATGGCCGACCTCTGAGCGCACCGGAAGTTATTGAAGTACTTGATGGAGACGCTCACCCAGTTGCTCCAGTGGAAGCTGCCGCCGCAAACATGGAGGTTGACGACCCGGGCAACCAAGCAGCGAATGCACCGAATCCGATCCAAGGCAACGGAAATGTGGCTGCAGGTGAGCCCAATGGTGTCAACCCTGCTGTCAATCTACATGGCCCACCAGCCTTGAATGCTGTTGTTGTCCCTCTGGCTGTCATTCCACCTGTGCAGGCCCCGGCTAACGCTGAATTTCCCGGTTTGCCACCAAATGTTTTGCCGCTACCTGAAGTACCGATTGTCCGCGATGCCCGCGACCGTTCTCCAGCTGATCGCCCACGTGCGCCGTCTGCACCTTCCGGTCCTGTTGGTTCTGCCGACCATAATTTTGTGCCTGGCTATTTGGCCCAACAGCAGCAGCGGGAATTGGATGCTGATCGTCGACGTCAGATGGCTGCAGTTTCGCCGTTTGGATGCTGCTTCTGGCTCTGGTATTACTGGTCTCTTTTCATTGGCTCCCAGTGCTGGCAAGTAACCTTGACTCACCTTTGACATTGACCTTGGTTGCTTTCTTTGATCTCATATTATTACTGGCTTTGTTGCGCTGCCTTGACTTTTGATTTTGTTGTCTTTTACTGGTTTACATTATTGTATTAGTGCGTTGGTAGATTGCACTTACCATTTTAATACGCTTATTTGTAGCTTGTTTGTTGTTGTTGACATTTGTTGCTATACGATGTGATTTGTAGTACTCGAGAATTCGTAAGAATACTACTGGTTGTTGGTTATCGCGGTCTCGTTCGTTTAATGCATAGTTCTACAGAATTACACATAATCACATTTTAAGATTTTAATTTCACAATTAATAAAGCTTTATGTCGTATACGGTACATACAAAACACCATCCAAACTCAAGCGGCACCATGTCAGTAATTCATAGTTCGCCTTCCTGGATCCTTGGACCTCCGCCCTGCCACACCCGTGGACTTCCGGATGCCTCTTCGCCAAGGATTCCACACATTAACTCTCTGGAATCGCGGCGTACAGTCACATTGGGCATCGGATGGACACGTGGATTGTGCGGTGGATCGGGATCAGGATGGATGGAAGTGCACAATCGCACTGGGATGTTGCGGGATGGATTGTTTATTTTGGCACAGCCAAGCATCGTTCGTGGGGGTGACGTATGGGAGTAGGATCATACGCCGGATGTACGTACTGGATGCTGACTGTCCGCCTTCCACCTGCAACATAACGGATAATCTGGTCAATCTCTTCTGTGATTTGCTGTTCTCTTTTACTAGCGATGTATATGATGTCATAACGCGAAGTCTATATAAGTTCTGGTGATGCCTAATATCGGAATCAGTAGTCTGAGATTTACTTCGAGGCTGCTTCTAATTACAATTTCCTAGTGTTGTGAACTGTGATGTGAATTGGATTAAGAGACAGCAATACTTGTTCCTACTGAAGTATAGTTGTTCCCGGATTATCGCTTAGTATACAGGTTTGCTCGTGACACAATCGTCCTAGCTCTTGCCGATCCTCACAGGACTTACGACCGGAAGTTGTGGTTAGCGTGTTCCTGAGGGATTCCTGAGTTCCTGTGTTCCTGATTCGCTCGTCTTATCCACCATAATTCTTCTGTTACAGTTTGAGAGTACGAGTGCCTACCGATTGAGCATTACAGGCGTGGAAGAGTAAAGATTGTTCATGGAGCCTTAACCGGCGTGAACGCTTATACACGACAATGTTGTAGATAACTGAAAACTTACGGAAACCGAAACACCGGTACCTTGTTAATGCAGTGCACGATCTATAACAATATCATCGACCTACCGACCATCGACCTAATACTGACGTACTGCTCGGCATTCTAGTATTCTAGAATAAGGCGTAAACGATCTCCCGTATTTTTAGTATGGCCCGCAATTGGTAATTTTTTTACTCCTACCCGCGCAAGACTGACCACCTGTGATACCGTCACAAAAAAGAGTTTTACATACACCCAATAGTTGTGACACGCACACCACCGCAGGAATAAAAGGATTTTTTACAATTTTTAAATGCTTTTGTAATTCGTTTGTCGGGAAAGCTTGGTTGTAGCTGCCGACTATTGTTGATTTACCCAAATACTGATCTATAGAATGAATCGTACGTATTCTACTGTATTTTTGTTATTACAGTACGTAGCAAGGTTTGGTTTCTCCTGCGCACAACAACACAGAAGCCCTCGTGTGTATACGTATTAATTTTGTTCTTTAAGAACATACTCCTTTCGGAAATGAATTTGTAAAACTATTTATTCTATTTTTGAAATTTATTCAGTCAATTAACACCATTCAATAGAAACCAAAAACTTCTTTATTACTGTTTCCACTCCCATAAAACTATTGAGAAAGCGTTCAGGTACAAAGTGTATCATACAACAAAGTAAAATACCACGATCCGTCAACAACCAGGACTTGTATTGTTATTAAAGTAGCTATTACTTTAACGGATACAGCATACAAAATATTAGAACAGTACTGCTTTCCGCTTCTGATATTCATCCAACCGTTTCTTGCCATATGTAAGATAATCAAACTCAATACTGGATGACTCCGCCTGCTGGAAGCTCCAGATAATCCAGAACAGATGCGCCACCAGCGCGAACCGGTTGACCGTCAAATACATTCGCTCCACTTCCTCCTCGTCCACCGTCTCTTCCTCCCGTCCATGGGCGTGATGCCAGCATTGCAGATAATAGCGCAACCAGACCATCTGCACTTCCCGGCTAGGATACCGACTGTAATCCACATCATCCACGCCGCACCATTCGTTGAAGTGATTGCCAATATCGTACGCTTGATAGTTGAGACCGGCGTACTCGAAGTCGATAAAGCGGATCTGGTCGGCGTCCTCATCGTACAGGATGTTGCGGTAGAAAAGGTCATTGTGGCAGAAGACTTCTGGGGAGACGTTGCTCTCGTGGACGGTCAGCTCCGTCTGCAGGAAATTAACTTCGGCTTCGAAGTATTTGTGGTTCGGGAAGTCCAGCGAGCGATATGTGTTTTCAGTAATCGGATCGCTGAATGTTTTGGGAGATTGTCGCAGCATGGTATGGAGTTTGTCGAAGAGGGAAGTGTGCGGATGGGATCCCTTATGGCGGTAAATGCAGTGCAAATGCACCTACAATAGCAAAGTGATGAATCATGAAGGAAATATAAAGAGCGAATTTTGAGTGCATTTATTATTTTAATTTTTTCATTAAAAACCTTTTTGCTAGTATATTTGTTCGTTTACCATTTTCTCAATGATGAGCTTGCTGATGTGTGGATCGGCCGTCATTTCCTGCTCCAGCGCTTCCCCTTTGACATACTCATAACACATGCCATTTGCAAACACACCGTACACCTCTCCGCAGATCTTCCTTTCGGACAGGATCTGGAGCGTGCGCAGTTCGGCCTTGCGGTCAATGTTCTTCTCGGTGTCTTCTCCGTGGATCTGATCAGAATTTTCTCCAGCGGATCCTCGTCAAAATATATCACCACGAGTTTATTCGTATAACCACCGGTGACATCTTCGATTTTTAAGCGCTCACTTTCCAGTCGCTTAAACCAATCCGGGCGGAAATGCTGGAGTATGGTGCGCACCGATGCTTCCGGATCGTTGTGATCAAAATTGAATGATGTGCGCGGAAGAGAGGCCATCTTCACTTCGTGAAGAGCTGTTCTGCTACAGTGAAGTATTTTAGTGGTGTTGCAATCCTGCAGATGTTTTCGGTTAATTTCGGTAGCACAAATCAGCACATTATGAGAGCTTAATCACATATACTGCAAACGCATGCGTTTTTGCGTGCATATTCCGAGTGACTGAAGCGACGGCGTTTGCAGCAGGATACTTGTCTGTGTAATAACTAATAACAAAAGACCGGTTTTTGAAAGGAAATTGTCACGGTGGTATACCGAATCTTACGATTAAAAGAATGGCTTACTAATGTTTTACTCAGCCTTCGTTTAACAATCATGTGATACTGTATTTGTAAGTACTAGTGCCGTACAGACTGTACTCACTGCTTAGCGCAACTGCTGCTGTTTCGCAGAAAATTTTTTGCACTAACAGATATTTTTGCACTTCGCAATGGAGTCTCGTATTCACACGTACAGGAGATTAGAGCACTGCCGATAAAAGTAAAAAGCTAAACGCTTGCAACCTTGAATGGACGGGACTTTAGTCCTAATTTAAAAAAAGATAGATATCGCTGCCGCTTAAGTAACCACTCGCATTAGAGAGACTGAGAATTCAGAGTTGAGATAAATATCTAATTTTTGAAACTGCCGACAACTATAGACGTAATCTTCGGTTGAAATCACTAAAGAGATTAACACCAAGATTGATTTTATAAACACCAAGTTCAGCTGTTATTATTATCGTGAGTTTTCATTCATATTCAGAATTAATCATTAATGTTAAACTTTTTCCGGTATTTACAAATTCCTTTGTACATCTTTTGGCGCAGTTATTTACAAAACAAACTTGTCTTAGAAATACGTCAGAAGCATTAAAAACTCATGAATTATCATAAACAGTCAGCAAAAACTCTTGGAAAGGTCAACACGAATAACAGCAAAAATCGCTGCGGGTATGTATAAACCTAAGACGTATATAGTTGTCTTTGTTATGCTGTCATGTCCTGAATTGTAGATTCGTATGCTGCTTTCATAGTCTGGTAGCAGTCCGATCCCGGAGTTCGTCGGCAAGCCGGTAAGGTGTTATTCCACGGAGCGTAGTAGACGAACTGTCTTGGGTCGAAGCAGAAGGGCTTCACCGCATTAGCGAGGGCTTCGTCAATCTTTCGCTTCTCATTCGCACTCATGTCCTCTGCAGGTTTGCGGCGTGTGTAGGTGTACAAAAAGGGATCAGCGCATATTCCGTCGTAGCCGTACTTATTACACGAAAGGTAGAATGCGTAAGAATCATATTCCATCGCCAATACGATAGAGTTATCGATACCTTCGCGAAACAAAAAATGTTTATTCTGTTGTTACCACAAGATTAGTGGGCATGAAATTGCTGCGAAATGTTTTTTTCCTAACCAGCTGGAAACGTTGTCGATCCACTGTCGAAATATGGACCAATCTGTCGTCCATCCACAGTAAAGTGGCATACTTCTTGCATGTTTTCGCAAGTGCCATTATCTCTGTCGATGTAATATTGTTCCTGGGTCATTACTGCGCAGGGAATTTCGGTTGTTGGAAAGTAGCATTTTCCCAGATTTGTGTAGTAATTGATGACGTTTTGGGACAATTTATCCTGTGTGGCGTTTATATACCAAACGTTGTAACCATACCATACTCCGGCAATCTACAACACACATATACACACAAAGATTCAATTTCAATAACAATGCAAAAAATGGTGAAAGATATGCGGATAAATGACACAGTCCACAGATTTTGGATGATTTTTTAAAAGTCTTTTTGCGTTTATTGTATTAATATGTTTTGAAGTTCATATATATTTTTTGTTTTATGTATATATCTTTTATATAGTGTTTTGCTGTCAACTGCTTTTACCATAGGTACCGATAGGACAAATGCTAACTAAGGGTCATACCTTAGCTGGATCAACGTACAGTCCGCGAGGTGCATTAGGGATTCCACACTTGTAATACGGCTTGGCGGCACCGTACGGATAGCTGTCCAGACCGACATATGAAGGGTTATAGTTGGTTTGGTTAGCGTATTTTGGCGGAGCATAAGCAGCGTACGGTTGGGGTCCATAGTTGACCGGTGACTGATTGTAGACCGGCGCGGCTGGTTTGGAGTAACTGCTGTAAGGAGGTTGGTTGTACGAAGGTGCATAATACGGCTGCGGAGGTTGTGGGGCGGCATACTGCGCTGGTGCTGGAGCGTAAGAAGGAGCGTAGGCTGGGGCGGCGGGATAGAATGCGGGTTGGGAGTATGCCGGCTTCCCCTCATCCGCATAAAATCCGCTATAAGGAACATCATATCGTCGCAAGTCATCTACTAAACTGTGTCTGACTAGTTTGCAAAAATTATGTGGTGTAGTTAGGCGCTCCATGTGCGCCGCGGTTACGCAGTCTGTGGTCATAGTTTGATAACAAAAAATGTTTGCATCCCCCACGTGGATACAGCTGCTGCTGCATATATCACAGGCAGACGTCCTTGCATTGCACCAAATTAACAATTAATAATATTGTCTGCTTGCAAGATTAAAAAAGTAAACCTGGTATTGCGATGCAGTGCATTCGGATAAGGTGGCTGGTTTGGGTATGTACCGCCGGGCTGATAGTTTCCTTTTGGCGCACTATACGAGCTACCGGTAAAGAAATATTAAAATTAGGCACATTATGAGTTAACTTTTAAAACTTCGCAGTTGAGAGGCCACAACACATTTTATTCGTACAACAACAATTTTTCTTATGTTCATTGTTCATGAGTACTCGTACTTGTAGTTAATCCCTGGTGACTGGGCTGGATAACCGCCATACGGTTTGGCTTGATAATCTGTGGGCGGTGCAGGTGAATAATATGGCGGTTTCCCGTGATTTTGGACTTCGTTTTGAGCACACACATATCCTACTGCCAGTACCTACAGAATATTAAGATATGGTATATCCTTAATAACTGTTGCCTAATTACTTTTACGCAGCTTTTTCACGCAGACTATGAAAAGGAAGACTTACTGCAAACAGTGCGAAGCTCACAAACCGGGTTTTTCTTCGCGCGAACATCATCTTTGCGAGTATTGTAATTATTTCTTAAAGTGACTAAAAAACAATTTTCTGAGGTACAACTACACGGTATAAAGGAAGAAAATTACAGCTAATTCTGTATGGTCGCTAATTGGGTAATTAGCTTGCGACCATAGTTGTGGGTGTTAAATTCACCAATAAACAAATGATAATGTCACTTTATTACAATCAGTGCAGCCCTTTTTGCTGCTTTCAAAGCAACGCTCGTAGAAAATAGTTTTACGTAATCGTAACAGGCTTTGTTTGAAAAAAATTGTTGGCAGCTATTCTTGGAGAGCATTGCGATTTCCTAAATAAAACACAATTGGTCATCGTTTTGGATCGTAAAATTTGATGGAAGCAGACGATAATATACTACTACGTCGACTACATTTTTTACCGCTTGGTGTAGTACAAAATGTGCATTACGAATAATGGTATTATTGATACACCAAGTTTTGCAGTTTTGAAAATTGGTTTGCTTACATCTAAGTATAAAAACAGCGCAAAACTTAATCTCCCGCCTTTTTTCTTTGCATCTTATCGTATTTTGTAGTTTCTGTTCCATCAAACGACATGAAGTATGAAGTGCATGGGAATAAATGGTGGGAATTTTTAGCTATATATGCAAGCAAAGGTGACAGGTCGATGTGTAATTACATAAGTCTGTGTACATAAGTCTGCGTTCCTTACGAGTATAAAAACTACTGCAGTATTCTAGATCTACAGTTGTGTCTGCATAGGGTAATTAAACATACTGCTACGGAATTAACAAGCAGAAGAGTAATATTTTCGAGAAACTGCTAACCGTTGTCAGTATTTCTTCCGTATTTACAAAAGTCCATGATATAGTGTATCTGCGGCAAAAATACAGCCAGTTGACACTACCAGCTGGCATCATCTGCGCGCTACACCGTGTACGCAGAAAAAATATGTATCCAGACGATGCTTACATTTTGCAATAAAACACTGCCCATAGCAAACTGTCAGTTAAGGATTCATTAATTGTGCTAATGTCGATTGTGGATGCTTATTTTCATAGTTTTGTAGCTGTTGGGTTCCGGTATTCGAGACATGTCGCTCACAAGTCAGGTATCCTCCCAGGGTAATTGGAATCGAAGCAAAACGCTTGCGCCGCATTGCTGTAATGCGATTCATCAAAAATTTGACCATTAACAGCGCAGTTACTTACAAAAAGGGCGAAACATAGTCTACCAATAAATAACTAATTTGTGGATTTTATGCGATATTTTACTGATATCGATGTCTTTGTGTAGCTTCCACGGTAATTATTTATAAAGTTCACCTGCCGTAAATATAAAGATTGTACAGGAATTAATGATCGAATTCGTATTCGAACACTGGAAAGATCAACAGCTGGATAAACCGGGACTTGTAATTTAACTGTATTAGTTGTATAATGTATTGTCACTGCTGTGAGAAGATCCACTACTTGCACTAAATACGCGTAACTTCTTTACAGTCATCTTTTTCATGTTCTCATATCTTGAATTGTGGATTCGTAAGCTGCTTTCATAGTTTGGTAGCACTCCGGTCCAGGTGTTCGAGGGCATGCCGGTAAGGTATTATTCCACGGACCGTAGTAGACGAACTGTCTCGGATCGAAGCAGAACGGCTTCACCGCATTAGCAATACCTTCATCAATACTTCGCTTCTCATTTCCACTCATGTCCTCTGGTTTACGGCGTGTATAAGAGTACAAAAAGGGATCAGCGCATATTCCGTCGTAGCCGTACTTATTACACGAAAGGTAGAATGCGTAAGAATCATATTCCATCGCCAATACGATAGAGTTATCGATACCTTCGCGAAACAAAAAAATGAATATTATAACCCTAGTAAAAAAGGGGCATAGCGTTGTTGGGAATTTTTGTCGATACTAACCGGCCGGAAAAGTTGCTACTCCGCTGTCGAAGTACGGACCAATCTGTCGTCCATCCACGGTAAAGTGGCATACTTCGTGCATGCGTTGGCACGTGCCATTAAATCTGTCGATATAGGATTGTTCCTGGGTCATCACTACGCATGGGATATCGGTTGTGGGAAAGTAACACTTTCCAAGATTTGTGTAGTAATTGATAACATTTTTTGTCATCGGCATGTCCTTTGTGGCGTTTATAAACCAAATGCTGTAGCCATACCAGATTCCCGCAATCTGTAACAAACAACCAGCGATTCAACAACATAGCACAAACCTGCAGGAGAATGCGTAATCGACATAATGCATAAATAACAATATCAGATTTTTCTGACAAAAAATTGTTTTCTGTATGCCATCAAACAATAAATATCTATGCCGAGCCAAAAGGTCATACCTTGGCTGGATCAATGTACAGTCCGCGAGGTGCATTAGGTATTCCACACTTGTAATACGGCTTGGAGGCACCGTACGGATACGTGTCCAAGCCAACAAATGAAGGGTTGTATTTGGTCTGGTTAGCGTATTTCGGTGGAGCATACGGCTGAGGTCCATAGTTGACCGGTGACTGACTGTAGACCGGCGCGGCTGGTTTGGAGTAACTGCTGTAGGAAGGTTGGTTGTAAGGCGGTGCATAGTACGGCAGCGTAGGTTGTTGGGGGGCAGCATACTGTGCTGGACCGTAGGCTGGGGCGGCGGGATAGGAAGCCTGTTGGGAATAATCAGGACGGGCTTCGCCAGGATAAACTCCGCTGTAATCGTTAAAAACAATATACCGTAAACCACTAATAATTATTAATAAGCTCTCTCGCTGTACTCGTAGCAGTTGTAAGCTGCAGTTGTTTTTGTCCAGTTTTGAAAAAATAAAAATTACTTATGTTTTTCAACTAGACGTCGTTTTGTAAATTAGTGATCTTATTCGAGAACAAAATTTTAGATTCCTTACTCAAGCGGTTTATTCATAAAGCGTGCTGCATATCAAAATACTATGATTATTAGTATTTGCATGCTTGAATTATAGAAAATTCAACATGGTATAATGCTCTGAAGTGCATTTAGATAAGGCTTGAATATGTACCACCGGGCCGATGATCTCCTTTTTGCGTTCCATATGGGTTAATTAACAATAAGCAGTGTCAGAAGATATTAAAACTAAACATATGATGATTTATGAAATTATATATATAATTTCATATATATATTTCATATATATATAATCATATATATATGATTATCACGTCTTATAAAACTCCAGTTAGAGGTTTATGTATTATACAAAAATTTTGATACAGTCTGCAACTGAATTTCGATACAATAATAACTTGTTAACGTTGGCAGTATTAGCACATACTTGTAGTTATTCACTGGTGGCTGGGCTGAATAGCCTCCGTATGGTTTGGCTTGATAATCTGTTGCCGGTGCAGGTGAATAATATGGCGGTTTTCCATAATTTTGGGCATCGTTTTGAGCACACACACTTCCTGGCGCCAACACCTAAAAATGGTGAAACGTGTAACAACATTTCGCCGATAAATGCTGTTTAATTACAGAACTTTTATACAACTTTCTCGTTCCAGAATTGGTGGTTATACATTAGCGAAATACTAGACAGTGCAGACAAGGGTTGTCCATAAGCATTTAAACTTTTCAGGTTAAAGCAAAAATGTAACAGCATGACGTGAATAAGTTTGGTTGATATATTAAATTCATATTTCATATACTGTGTCTGTAAGTACGACTCTAGAAGACTTACCGCAAATAATGCGAAACTCAGTACTTTGCTAAATTTGGCCAACATCATCTTCGCGAGCACTGTAATTTAACTGTTGGTGGGAAGAGATTTTCCGAGATATACCTATGCAATCTAAAAGAAGAAATTAACCGCTAATTTTATGTGGGCGCTACCCGGGTACTTAATTAGCCTGCCACCACAGTTTGTTGGTGTTACTTTTCCCAAATAAAATATTTGTGGAGCTGCATACTGCAGTCACTGCATGCGTTTCGCGGTATTCTCGATTTCACGCTGATCATGAGGGAAAAAATTTACGTAACCGAAACAAATCCAGTTTGGAAAAAAATTGTTGGCAACTATTGTTGGCGAGCATGTATCGGGACTTTTTTTACAGGGCAATTGAACATCATTCCGAATAATACAATTTGATTAAGGTAAGAAAGTTATGTAGAACAAAATGTAACAGCATATATAACAGCATCTGTAAATATAACAGCATCTGATAAGTTTTGCACATCAAAAGCTGTACATATGCATAATGTATTCGTATGAGTCGCGGTTTCTTCCGCTAATTCTGCAAAATAATACGCTGGAGTTTTCCTTTGAACCCAGCCATAGATATATTCGCGTTTGTTTGACTATTTAACTGCATAACATTTCGGAAACTTTTCGTGTTTTGTAAAGACTAAATGTTGATAATTTAGTACCAGTATAGAGTAACCTATTTTGCAATTAGAAAAATAAAATAGACAATCGGCGCATTGTAACCGAACAGACTCGATAGTGCTAGAAATAAAACAAAAACTTTATAGCAAGATAATGAAAACAGTTATTAAATGTCATTTAGTCTTGGCTTACCTGCGCTGCCATGTCAAGAAGAATGTTTTACGTAGTTATTACTGCTATTAAAATACCTGAAATTAACAGATCACTGGGAATTAGCGATTCTCCAAGTAAAAGTTTAATGACTCCCAGGTTCCACTATGTTAGCGGTGTTTCTAGAACGATACGAATTAATATGCATATTTGCGGCAAAATACGTCGACATGACTTTAACAGCTCACAATAAAATTTTTCATTGCCCGTGCGTAAACATAGTGAGAATCGCGTTTCCCGTACGTACTCGTATTTCCCAAAACTTGAAAAAAAATTAAAATTATCGGCTAAGTATTCAACGTGCTAATCTCGATTGTGGATGCGTACGCCGCTTTCATAGTTTGGTAGCAGTCGGATCCCGGCGTCCGTGGGCACGCCGCCAAGGTGTCATTCCAAGGTCCATAGTAAATGAACTGTCGGGGATCGAAGCAGAACGGCTTGACCGCATTACTAACGGCTTCGTCGATTCTCCGCTTTTCTTCGGCGCTGATCTGATTGGGTTTACGGCGGGTGTAGGTGTACAAGTAGGGGTCAGCGCACAGTCTGGAACGGAACTGTATTTGCTGCAGGAATGGTAGACAGCGTAGGATTCGCTATCCATAGCCAGTACGATGGAATTATCCAAACCTGGAGGTCAAAGACACAACTTCATATACTTACTGTATACTTTGCTGACAAAGCGATTAAAAACGGATACTGCAGTCGCTTGCACTAATCTATATATATACTGACCGGCAGGAAGTACAAAGGCCGGCTGCGCGCCTGTCGAAATACGGACCAATCTATCGTCCGTCCTCGGTGAAGTGGGATACTTCGTGGAATCCTTGGCATGTTCCACTGATTCTATCGGTGTACGTCTGCTCCTGAGTCATGACCACGCAGGGAATATCTGTTGTAGGGAAGTGACATGTACCCAGATTTGTGTAGTAATTAATGACGTTCAGATGATCCTTCGATTGTGGCACATCCTGGGTAGCGTTTATAAACCAAGAGTTATACCCGTACCAAATTCCTGCGATCTAAAAGCCATCACAGTTATTGTATATTACAGCACGAATGCTTTAAGGAAAGGTCACGTTGTCTGACATTAATTTCTCACTGGTCGTAATATGCATAACATAATTGTTCTAAAAGTTCAAACTTAACTACCTTGAAGGATCAACTCGCAGTCCGCGAACTGCATTGGGAAATCCGCACTGATCATAAGGCCTGTTTGTACCGTACGGAGAAGTGTCCAGACCAACGGACGCCCGGATAAGGGACTGCGTAATCTGGCGGTGCATACGGTTGTGGCCCATGATTGACCGGTGGCTGATTGTAAACCGGCGAGGCTGGTTTGGAATAGTTGTTGTATGAAGGTTGGTTATAGGGAGGTGCGTTGTACGGCGGAAAAGCAGGATAGCTCATCGGTGGTGAAGGACCGGGATAGGAAGCGTCTTGGGTATAACCATACTTGCTGTCGTCACAATAAAATTGATGAGTTTTTCTCAGGAATCTTTGTCCCGGAAGCTGGCTTATATGTATGCATGAACTTACAGTGGACAGAGGACTTTACCCAGTATCGCATCATAAAGCATTCACTGCTTTCATTTATATATCAAGCTTATTAATTAGTTTAGAAGCTGGACCATATACCTTCCATACTGGCTCGCTGGATAATCCTTGGACGGAAATGGATTATTGTAATACGGGGGTTGTGGATAATTTCGACCGTCAGTTTGAGCTTTCACGTTTCTGACCACTGCCACCTAGAATTGTATTAATCTAGGTATAAATAGCGCGCGAGTGTACTTGTAACGTGTAACTGGTGAAGTCTACGATCATTCATATAATAAAACACTAGTACTTCTTTTCTGCGTTTTTTTGTCTAGATAGAATCACGCCGTTCGTTTTCACTTAATGCGCATAAACATTTGTTCATAAGCTGCGGTAATTTTTCGGTGGATTGGAAGTCAAATAGTGGTATTATTTAATTACTTAATATCTAACAACATGGTCAGTTTTATCATCTTTTAGACTGCATACGACCGACCATCTACTCTAGAGTAAGTATACGTGCTTCGCATACAAGCGCTTCCACATGAGTGTGATTTCCTACCATAAAAAATACGGAGCAAATGGTGTTGATATGGCCGAACATCCCTCGAAAATATTTTCAGGTAATACAGTAAATAATATTCTCCGGCGTATCTAACATGTAAATTGATGCCCTCAAAACCAACAAACAAGTAAATACCGTTCTATAACCAAAACAGATTTTGGTTTCTCCACGCACAGTAGGAAAATCTGTCATTATCGTAATCAAGACAACTCTAGGTTATGCTAGCAGTGTTTCATGCAAAAAATCTTTACGTAACCAAATAAAATGTTTCACTATGTTTTTAAAAAATGCCTGGCAGCTGTTGCATCGGATGAAACGGTCTTTTGCCGACACTGGTCGCCACTCTACAGATCCACAAATTGGATTGTACACCATGTTAAAACATACACAGTTCTAAAATTTTAGTTTAACCGTACTTGCCACTTTCAAAGCGAAACGGTTGAAAATAAAATTATCCCACCATTATCCGCTTAAAGTAAGAATGATATCTTTGGCTGCAAAGGTACGAGTAAGAACTAATAAGAAGGATACCTTTGCAGATGCTTCTTAGCAGAAACAAAAAAAGTGTATCGTATGAATGTGTATCAGTCAGTGTATGTAATGATATGTATTGCATATTTCCGACGCCTTCCTTCACCAAGCATACTGATCTTTGGTCAAAAACAATGTACAGACACGGAATTTATAACGGTTACTGTGGTAATACCGTATACAACGTTATTCTTTTTTGTGCATATGTAGAAAAAGACTTCGTAGATGCTTTTATTGCTAAAACTGTATTTAGAAACATGGGAATAAAAATATTAATTTTTTTATAATAAAACGTGTAACCAAAGCATGCAGAGAGACTCAACAAGTTCATGGAGATTAACTGACAGCACAAACGGGAAGGAAAGCATCAGCGCCATCACAAAGTTCGCAATCGAAAACAATATTGATTGCCGTACACGGCATCTTTGGCGATTTCTTTTATTGGTCACACAATTTCACGGCACGGCACACACCCTCGGGATCGAGAAGCTGTGCGGCGATCTGCAGAACGTAAGGCACGTAAGTCATCACGGCGGTTTCACACTCGGTTCTGGCTTCCTCCGGGAAAAAGACGCAGTACGACTTGATGAGATTCGACAGACGCACGTTCTCGTCGTAATCTTCCAGCATCACCTTAATAACCTGCAAATTCAATCCGCATTTGAATGTCACACGTTTTACTTTATAAATAGCAACGTGCAACTGCATATCGTTTAACAGCAATATGTAAAACAATGGGCAATCAGATATGCAATTTAAGTCAGTGACTGAGGGATTAAAACCCCAAAACCTCTTGCAATGCACCAGATTCCATCATTTTTGTGCCACCGTTATCCAGTAATTTACATCAACTTTATTCTTACAAACCTTAAACACTTCCGTGCAAGATGTGCACGTCGCCGCGCCGCAAACTTCCGGTTTCTTGCTCTTGCACAGTCCCAGTCCGGCGCACACCGTAGCGGGATCCAGTTCGTTGCCGAGGATGACCAGAATAGCCGGACCATACTGATCAATAAACCCCACACAATCGTCCCGAACCGATTTGGGCATCACGGTGCACACGCGTTCTAAGGCGGACTGGATGGCAGCTTCCGTGTAATTGTCTTCCAGCATGCGGTCCAAGTACGACATCACAAACTCACAGACAACGCATTCCACATCGTTTTTATAGGCCACCTTTTTCGGAGGGGGCGGTGATGATGAGCTAGCACGGACTGCGGGAAGGGAATTCAGGTTGAGAAGCATGCGGGTCAATGGCAGCTGAATCTGTAAGAAAACTTGAATGTACTAACGATAACTTCAATGTGCATTAAGATTTCAACTTCACGAATTCTATAATCTGCAGTCAAAGTCAAACTGTTAAACAACACGACCATTTCTGCAGCTAAAGCCAAGATGAAAACAGCAACATGCTCACGACGACCACCCGTCGATTATTTCCGGACATAAACAGATCAGCGCATGTCGGTCATTGCATTTGCTAAAAGTAAACCCATCAGCTGATCCGCAAGTGCGACGAAAGCACGATCATCATAATCGCGCTCTCGCCGAAGTTCGGAAGTTGTAAGCAACCAGCGCAACAAATCTAACCAGCCATTCACCAGAATGCTTCCAAAATTACATATATGCAGTCTAATTAAAAAATCTGGGTAACGAAGTAAACGAACATCATACGAATGATACCGTTATATTCACTAAAACATTCCCATGCTGTTTTAAACGAGAACATTTTGCACGAGAAACCCGTGAGTTTTCCTGCACGATGAACCGCAGTCGTTAAAGCTGAGCAATTGAACGGAAATTACTATTTACAAAATATGTAATCAAACATTCCAATCATCCATGCCACGTCCGCATGTCATTTCAATTTTACCACGCTTACCGGTGTAAAGTCCATCTTCTTGGTAGTCTTGCGTTGCGCGTAGGGCACCAACGGCAACCACCACTTGGCTTTGCCGCTCTGCATTCCCGTGCAGAAATTCAACTGCGAGCACACCTCCTCCGGATCAAAGAACATCTGCAGCCGGGCATAGATCTGCGGCCAGTACTGCTCAATGACCGTTTTGCACAGTTCCGTCAGAGCCGGATAGCCCGCCTGATCGCACTGGTCCAGCAGCATCTGTTTGAACTCATCCTCCGTATAATTGCCAATGTAGATCTCCTTGGCGTCCTCGAAGAAATTGTAGCAATCTGCGCAGTAGTTGCGATTGGATGCAGCAGGAGCGGGAATGGGGAGATTGGTAGGAGGCTGTGCGGGAGGCTGTTCCGCTGGGAGAGCAGAAGTTGATGGTTTTGCAAATGGTCCGGTCGGGCACGTTGGCCGACAGCATCTGACGGATTTCTGGAAGATCCGTCGTCATATCCGCCAAGCAGTCAGCACGACGGCTCTTTTTCGGAATGCGTCTAATAATAAATATACCACACAAAATTAAAAAAATCTGCCACAAAAATCAGGCAAACACCAAAAAAGCACTTCAAAAAACTGTTAGAAACTTTGAAACAAACTTAAGAAGCTTAAGAAAAGGTAAATACTTGTACGCAAAATCCTGCTAAACCTAAATGCTGGAAATGCCTAAAATTTATTAAAATAAGCCAGATGTGCGAAGTAAGTAAGTACCTAAAAGTTATGCCTAAAATTTAAACTAAATGTTAGTGAATTCATGTATTATTTAGCGATCAAGCTAAATACTCGTACTTACTTGCAACCATCTCTCAGGTACCCGTGCATGCCGCTTTCCGAGGTGTTCACGGCCACCAGATCACGAATATCGTCCATGAGATCATCGCACCAGCGGCAAAGGATGGAGTCATCCGAAGGCTCGGCTTGCTTTCCCCCACACTGACTGCACGCAGTGCGTAACAGCTGAGCACTGCTTGGCATTCGCAACTTTATCGCACCTAAAAACCAAAATAATTAATAATAATCTTTAATTATTCTACATTGCAAAACAACTGTACTCAGTTTCTTACGGAGTCTACCAGTGTCTACGGTACTTGTACATTAGGAGTGCAACTGATTCTTAGTTATTAATTTATAGTGACTTTATGCCTAGCAAATCATAAAATGCATACAAATTAACCTTCTCTACAGAAATATAAGTCTATTTAGTATTTCTGAACTAGTAATTACCAGAAGGAAGGACCCCATGTGCATTTGTTGGAGCCAACTAGACGTTCATGGGCTCGATGAGCGCCTGTCATAGAGGATACTGCATGTTGGTCTGCCACGCACAACGATATCAAAATCGGAAATAGTAATACAAAAGAGTTCATCCTTATAAGGTAAGATCAAACATCCAAGTTGCTAATACAGATATTCACAATTAGTCAATTACAGAATTTAAAAAAAATGAAGTGATTTCGTTTCTCAAACAACAAGAGCCAAACAGCAACCCAAGACAAACGCAAACGCAAACAGAAATTTCCTTCTGTCGTACTGTAGCTCAGTAGCTGGTACTGGTAGGCACGAGACATAATCTTTGTGGCAAGCCGAACTGCACACCGGGCTGTGTTTGGTGAGCCACATGGATAACAAATGCCACAAGGATAACCATTATCCATTAACCAGTTGCCCAGTTATGGCCGGCGAGGAACTCATAACTGGCGCCGGAAATCAACCAAATTTGTTCAAAATTTGCAGTTTGCACAATACTCTGGTTTAAGTTTTCAGATTATAATATATCTTGCAGCCTGTACAAATGTAGGCAGTAGGCACATCTGGAAAAACATGGTGAGTCCTATCACGTGTGAAGATTGTTTCTTAATTAATAATATTTTTAGAAGCAATTAGCACAGAAAATTCTCGTTACCATATATACTGAAGGGAAACACGTTGGGTGGCAAAAATTTTAATTCGTATGTCTACGACCATACCACGTAGAAAACTCCCGATCCCGTTCGATCTCGGAAGATAACCTACGTCGGGCCCGGTTAGTACTTGGATGGGTGACCGCTTGGGAACACCGGGTGTTGTAGACTTTTTTAATTTATTCTGGCCCTTTTTATTTTTAACATTAGAAACGATTGAATGATTGTAAACAGGTGCTGTATTTTTCTTTGCTATTAAAGCTAATAGTGTAAGAACTACATAATCATACTGCGGCAAAACCTGATGTTTGTGTGCTTGTATGTAACGTCAATGCGCTATTACTTTAACGTGCGCATATCTGAAGGCAAACAAAAAAGGTTTACGATTAATTCCTACATAAAACCTGTACGACTACTACAAAAGTGTTTCATAAAAACACAAAACATAAGAGGAACTTATAATGCTAACTGCGCTATTTCGTTAATTGCAAACAAAACATGTAAAATTAATTAAAATACACTAAAAACAACTGACAAGCACTTACGAGTCTATCAAACCGCGAATACTATAAATTTTAATAATTAGGGAAAATTCTAAAAAAGCCTGCAACCAAAAAAACAGGCGTTACTTACATCATTATACTGTAGTGCTCGTACTATTAATAACGGTACAATGAATTCCGCACCAGAAAAAAAGTAATTGGGCGGTATCGTTCTGATCCTCTCGCGCAGTCACTTGTGTCTGCCCTTTCTGACCTTTATGTCCGTTCGCACTCCTTGAACTGCTTATTACTCCCGAAACATTTTTTGACGTTGAACTTGCGCATCATTGCGTGTAATATGGGAAGCAGGTAACACATAGTATAGTACAGCTCCTTAAGAATAACAGCACTGTCACTACTTTGTATCACCCTTTAAAGTATTCCGTAATCTTTATGCATTTCTGCAAAAAACAAAGCAGTAGCTGACATCTGCCCATTATATGCAAGGTTGGTGTGCATTTTTTCCACAACATTTCTCCTTTATAAAGAATTCAAGGGCCTTTGCAGTTTAAAAGTAAGTACACAACTTACAAGTAGTTAAACTATTTCATTAGAACTTACAAAACGAACTCTTATGGTTTAAACACTTTCGTTTACGGTTCATCTTGAGAGCAACGAAAAGTGGTTAATTGAAATTAATGGTTTTTTTTTTCAAAATGAATATGTTTCCTTGAAAAAAACGGTCTTCTTATGCGCTCTTTATTTGACAACTCGATCCGCACTTGGTGGATGGCTTCTTGCCTGCTGGCAGCCTGGCACCAAGGCAGGTTACATCTGTAACCAGCGGCTGCAAATTTCTAAACCGAGCCACTCAATGGGAAGCGGAAAGCGGCACCGGATACGCCAAGCATTCCACCAATGGATGCGCACTTTACATTCATCCGGCACGTCGATCGCCGGATACCATTAAGAAAGAAAAACCTACTTAAAGCGTGTAAACTCCACAAGCATATTATCTATCAACACATTGAGGTGAAGAATCTCACCCATGATACACTTTTCATGATGCCAGCCGGCATCTTCTGATCCACAACGCGTACACACTCGCGTCTATGACGCTATGCGGTGTCAGTTTTTTGGGGTCAACAGCTGACAGCGGATCCGCTTGGACATTAGGCAAATTAGCCGGTTAGTTGAGTGATATCCCCGATTTGCAAAAAAACACCGCCCCAATCGGTTAATTATGGCCGCTGGTGTTTTGCTTTTGAACATGAAACAAATAGGCCAATATAACTTCTTCCATGTCACAACTCAATCGGGAATTGTTTCATAACGCGCCAACTGTCGGAATTGTGGTTACGATTGTGTCTATGACTGCAGTGTAAAATTCTCTGGCTACTGTTCATTATGCCGGGCGGAGCGGATAGTGAAGAGGAGACGGACAATGAAAAGGACACCGGATGGACGGTGAAGAACTGCTGCCGGAAGACCATCGCCTTCTTGTTTTCCCATATTGGCCTGACCGCACTGGTTGTGGGATACTCCATTATGGGGGCGTTTCTCTTCCGGCATTTGGAATACCAACACGAGATGGACAAGATGGGGACCATTCGGGAATGGAAGAACGACACGGTGGAGGCACTATGGAACATCACGACCGATGTCCACATGCACGAGCTATTCCAGGTACCAAGTGTAAAGGATTATCCTAACGACCTTTACTGAAAGTCAGAATGTAATAATGAGCATACTAAATATGAATTAAACGATCTTGTTTTTGCTCTTTGAAGCAAAATATAAAACTGCAATATTGTTTAGTCTTGTAGGAAATACGTAATGATCGATGTATGGTATGGTAGCGTTATTTGTAGCGGATACTTGATTGATCACACTTGCAGGACGTGTTATAATTATGGCCGTCACTGTCGGTTCAGGCAGTAATCAAGTCAGTAGTACTTTGTGTAGCCTGTAATGTGCATTACATCGAGTTTCACAGTAGTTACACACTGAAATGGCATACTCGCCTGTAATATGCAAGTGTTTTTTAAGTTGATTATTTTATAAAATAAATGGTAAGTCAGTTTACTTCGGTTAAGTATTCGCATTCAAAGCAAAGATCCATTGAATATGCTCAGTCGGCACAGATGTGTTAAACTTAAGCACCATAATATAAGCTCATCTGTACGAATATTTTGTCACTAAGAATATATTTATTTACTAAAAATATTGATAATTTTCCGCGAGGATGGTCGCGGAGAAAAATTCATACACTATCAACAATGTACTGGATGTCGAAACGGGCCCCGAAAAATCTTGCCTATTTCTAATTGTTTAGTACGAACAACATTTTATGTCTTAATTAATTACCTAAGTGTTCTCGGCTTGACCATTTCGGCATTAAAACTGGAAGCCTATAATACTGATTTTACTTTACATCTTCCTTTTATTTCAGTATCTGAGCATCGAATGAAACAATCTTCTAAATACTTTAATATGACACATTACACACATGCAAAGTTATAAGACTGCAATTTTACTATGTTCCGAATAGGCGCCAGTTATCCTTCTGGTCTATTTTGAAACTTCATTATGTTATCTTGGAAAATACGCATATTCTTGCATAATGTTGAATTGGCCTTGGTCTTTGCAGTCTAGTCGCCGGCGATCATCGAACCGCCGGTAAATATCGGTGCAACCTTAAGAAACCTAAATATTTGTGGAGCAATTGATCACATTCAGCCTGTTTACCCTGTCGCTGTTCATCATCTTCCTTTCGGCATAAGAAGACACATTTGCGCCGCAATAAAAATTTCTCTTTCCCCATAAAAAATAATGATACACCATATGGCCCAATCTGTGCACTTCCGATTTTTTTCCTACGTTGTCAGATCAGAAAGTAAATGTCGAAAGTTTGGTACGCCTCATAAATCGCACATCAGGAATGAAAGCGGCACTAGTCTGGAACAGACCGGAAAGGAAAACGGACGGACCCGGCGACTGTCAATCTGAGTTGGAAATTAATGACCCCATCCGGTCGACACAGTGTCTAGCAGCAATTCGAACTAAATCAGTTCGGCTTGTTTTCCTAATCGATCGCCCACGTTAGCCCAGATATAATTTAATTAGTGCTGGCATTCCAACGCGCGCTGCCCAATGCCGGTGTCACTTTTGTCCCCAATCGAAGCGTTCCGGAATCGAATACTTTACACTTGAGCAATGCAATCATCATAATTTGAGAACGTGTCGGAGCATTCTTTACGGTGTCTACGAATGCCTTATATTTGTATTTAGACAGTAACTGATATTTGGTCGCCAGATCAAAAAACAGCTGTTAAGTTGATCTAGAACATTATCCATCTACTTGCATCGTTACCAATTAATTCGCTTCCAACACATATACATAGCGACAGCGATAATAAACCAGGTCATTCGGGAAAGAAACGCGATTTTAAGATTTAAACCTAAAGTGGCAACAACTACAACAGTCGTCTTTCGCAATTTAGTATATCTGTCATACATTCGCATCGTTCTTTAATTGAATTGCTATTAAAAGACTACGCAACATCAAGCGAAACTGTGTTATTATTTATTAATAAACCATTGAGAATGCCGGTTGCGTCATATGGTGCGGGTTTTGTGGACCGCTTTTTTGCGATTGACAATAATATGAAAGACATGTGGAGGAGTCCATTGACCTTTCTCTCATTAGAGCTTGAAAGTACTGATCATAGAAAGTTTGCAATTAAGACAGCTCTAGGCTTACGCGTAAACAAATAAACATTTCACTTTTACTGCGATAAAAAGTGTACTAATATTTTGAATAATACGATACTTGTACATCTTGATCTATGAAATCATGCCGACCATAAACCAAGCATAAACTTATCAGGTAGGAATTATACGTACAGTACTCTTACTGCTCCTGGTGTATTACCAAACTCAGAATACTCTGTATATTGTAACTTTTACTCGCATCTAATTCGAATAATTGGCTCTACAGAATAACTGCACATCCACCTGTTCTGTCCAGTCAAATGAGACAATGACCAAATTCCAAAAAGAAGCCAAGGACCAGCATATTATGCAGGCGGAAGCAGCTAAAACGGCTCTGGTTGAAAATCTATGGACCTTAACGATGGACTTAAATGTTCTTTGGAAAGTATGTAGGCACTCCAAATTTTTTAAAATATATGCATGCTGCCATGCACTTATGAAGAAGACTGCAAACCACATGTTGATATATGCTGCCGCAAACGTAAACGCTTGTGAATGAACGTCTGTCACGTCGCAGTAATTGCAGGAAAACTGGACACAAACCGCTGAAAAGGAAATCAGCAATCTGATCCGTCAATTACGTTTATGGAACGAAGAAGCCGAAATGCGCTGGTACAAACCAGCCGTAAAATGCTCCACTGTCTGCATTCCTACCCTGATGGTTAAAAATCAGACAAAGGTCAGTCGCATGTACTTACGCCTACTGTAAATATTATTGAGGATAAAACCGCCGGCTGCTCATGCTGCATGTATTGCTGTTCTGCATATTCAGAGCAACTGGACGACATTAGCCATGGACCGCATTGAAGAATTCCAAAACAATATCAGTGACGCCGCACAACAAGGTTTCGAGACCAAGAAATCCAATCCCAAATGGACATTCTCCAGCTCCTTCTTATATGCTCTCTCCGTAATAACAACGATCGGTTAGTATTTACATTTCGGCACAACATATAAATAAAGAAAAACTGCTGATAAGTAATCACGATGCCGCTGCAACACACGTGCTGTGCTTGCAGGTTATGGGCATGTTACGCCCAAGACACAAGCCGGCAAAGTGGTGACGGTGCTCTACGCTGTAGGGAATTCTATAATGCTGATGTTCTTGTCCAATATCGGGAATTTACTAGCCAAAGTCTTCATTGGGTTGTTCTCCCACATGTGCCGATGCCGTTTCTTAAATCCACCGGATCCAGTACTGTTGCGTCACCGAAAGTTGAAGTTTCTCCTGCCATCGGTCTGCTAAAGGTCAGCTGCAGCCAAAGCCAACGATTTCTCATCAGCGATTCTTTCCACCTGATGAATCGTCTAATGTTACTCCTGGCGACGAGGTATTCGTTCTTTAAGCAAATGTTTCTGACGCAAAACATTTTAGCAGTTAAACCGAAAGTACGAGTACGTACCTGATCAAAAAAATATGATGCCGAAACACTCACATGTGCATTTATACTCGTATTAACGAAACCCTAAAGCACAGGTACCTCTAAAAGAAACCCTTAACTGAAATGTTTTTATTTAATAATATGTATTTGAGCTTAATTCAGTTTAACTGTAGTTAATATTCGCTTACGTGTAAGAAACTCCTTTGATGATTTCAAGCATCACTGGCATGACAGAACTGAAAAAAGTAGCCAACAATCATATTCACGTAACGTATTTTGAGATTCAAAAAAATCATATATACCATATTTCTAGACGGCTGCACCAGCTATTCCGGCATGGGAACCGGAAGTGGCCGCCTTAGTGGAGCGCTTGAGCGTAAAGACAACAACGTTCCGGTGATTGGTTGTTTGGTCATCATGAGTGCATACCTATTCGGCGGCGCCACTTTATTCGCTCTGTGGGAAGATTGGCCCTACCTAGATGCATTCTACTTCTGCTTCGTCACTCTGCGACCATCGGGTTTTGAGACTTTGTGCCCGGCGCGTCCATGCTCGGCTGACACATCAAATCAAAAGCTGGTAATGTGTTGCATATACGTGCTGGTCGGCTTGGCGCTGATTGCCTGCTGTTTCAACCTGATGCACAATCAAGTTCGCAGCTACCTAAAGGCGATAGCAAAGGTCATGGGAATCATTCGAGACAAGACCATCAACATTGGAAGTGAGAGGGATCCGGTCAAAAGCGGCAAAGGAAACTCAAAGAAAACCGTTAAAAATATCACAACAGTTTCCTTGGCTGACGTGTAAATAATTCTGCATTTGAATTGTGTAATATATTAAGTACTGTACATTTGTTTCGGTCATTGCCGTGGTCAAGTGATCGTGTTGCGATGGTGTGCCATTGAGTACTACTGTAGTACACAATATCCGTTGTAACGTCTTGCCTGAATTCTGTAAATATCCCATGATTCTCTTGTTATTCATACGTGTTTGACCATAATATTTGTTCGATAGCTGCAAAAGTACTGTAGTAGAATTGCGAATAACTCACAATAAACTGGAATACGGGCTCTTCAAATCATGGGATAAGGCCATATGCATTCATACATGCAGTTAGCATAATAACGACACGAGTACATGTACAGCGTAGTGAGAATACCTAGTTATTCCGGGAGAGATTTCGGAGAGATTTCACGAAATAGCCCAACCTAGATTCCTGCAGAAATACAAAGTAAATTAATTGTAAGCTCACAATCTGAATGCGTACTTAACGTTTACCTTTGTGGACCGGGTCCGCTGTAAAGTCTAAACCATAGAAGTCTTTTATTTGAATCGCTGCCAAACTATTTGGAACCGCTGAGCTTTCGTTTCGCTTTCTCCTGTGGAAGCTGTTTTTGTTCGGTAGTGCGTATTCATATGCATATGGTGGTCAACTGATGGGCAAGAACTTGGTTTTTTTCGCTTTGTACTCCGGCCGTAAAACTCGCATTCGGTGACGGCCATCCCTCATCGCTGCAGATTGTTGGCTTTTTCGGGTAGCATATATCCAGCAAAGGTTAACACAACAAACAACCCGGTGAAAGCTTATGGGATAGCAACCATGGGCTGCTCAGTTCGTATCGTTTAGCAGGTTTGCCACACATTCAAACCGTATAATAAATTCCCCGTAAAAAAGCAGGAGAAACCCGGTCAGTGCTGTGTGATACTGGCTTCGTGGTTTTTTTGTTTATGCTATAACAATGGAAAATAAGCAAGCCTAAATACTGTAATGATCAAAGGCTTGAAGGAAATAATCGGAAAACGCGGATTGTTAGCTAGTTTTGCTAACAATTAATAGGTATAGAAAAAGTCGCATCGTAGGATGCTACAACATAATAATTTAACATCCTACTAGAAGGAATGTGCATGATTATATTCAAAAAACTATCAAACGCAGAGCGCAGTCACAACGTCGTTTCTGTACTGTACTTCCGCTGAAGTTCTTTCATATACACAGAATACTTCGTCTTGTGCGGGTTACTTTGTGTTTATTCATTTGCTTCCGTTTTCGCGTCTTCGGATTCAGCTTATTGCCGAAGCACTATAACTATTGCATAATTATTGTAAGCGGAACAACTAAACATAACAAATATACAGAAAAGGTTGATATCTGGAAGGTGTAAACTGCACCCTGCATTTTACCATCCTAGTGAACGTATCTGTACGCGTAGCAGCTGGCAGCATGAAATCCAGCTGCGAGCTTAGAACTGGCTAGTTTTTTACTTGTTTAATTTTATTCTAGTGTTTTTCGGCGTAAACATTCACTTTGCTAAAGTGGTACCAATAGCGAGTGGATTTTAGACATATTTATAAAAATTTTTTGTGCGTACATTATGTATCTGCACACCACAAAAACTTTAACAATAAGCACTTTACTGTGGCACTGCTGATACATGGTACGTATTTTTCCCGCGTACTAAAGTTGTTAAGCGAAACGGCAAATATTTTCCTACAGTGTGCTTTATTGATTTTTACCGAAATATACCCTCTATGGATTATGGGTTTGAATGGGTGCAAAGGTATGATCAAACCTTACCCAGCAAGGTTCCCACTCCATCCGTCGGATATTTTCGTGCACAACAACTCTCTGATATGCACAGTGAGCGAGAGTGCGCGCCTGCATCCAATCAGCCCAGCTCATGCACAATAACCAACATAAACACAGTGTGCCTCGGCTTTTCCAACCGGCAATTTTTCTCATCATTGCTTCCCCATACTGACACGCCTGGCGAGTTAAGTTTCTTCCTTTCTCCCTGCGCCCGGCTTTCCTTCTTTCATTCCAGCGTACACAGCACATAACAGACACACAAGCATACACGGTAAAGTGTAAACAGCACTCCAGTAGTCAACTTTGTAGCATCTTGTCCCGCGTCAGCCCAGCCGAGTCGGTTGTTGCCAATCAAACATGACTTAACGCTCAATCCACTGTACACTTGTACTGGCGCATTAAAGGATTGCTATCAAGCCATCTCGTGGCCCCTTTGTCTATGTGAATTGCAAACCAACAGAAAACCGTTATTTCATGGATTTTGTTGTTAACTGCAAGCGGACGCTTATATAAATTTGCCAGCAAGTGATACATATAAACCTTGCAGTTTAAATCCAACAACAATGGCCGCTGACCACGCCCCGCACGTCTCACCCCGCTCCGCCACAAATCGGACCGTGAGGAGTTGCCCTCAACGGCCGCAACAGCGACGATAATGTCCCGCGACGGGATCCATCCGGGTGTTGCTATCGCAGACTAGCAAAGCCCTCGGACTGCCCTTCAACGAAACGGACACCGATCCGCTGCCGCCCACCCGCAACAAAGCCTTTCAATTCCAACGTCAGGGCACCAACTCCTCGCTGGACGTACCGCGGAGCCCCCACTCCATTGCCGGCAGTCTCGATGACCCGACCAAAGGGTCAAGTCTGCAGCGATGCTGTAAGAAGTATATTTCCGTTTAATTGCCCATTTTATACTGATTATGGTCA